AGTTATTTTATCTTAATATCCTAAAATAATTTTTAAAATTTGTAGATTTTCGTTAGTGGGTCATAAAAAAAATATACTGCACAATTCGAGTGGATTGTCCATATCCACTCTTATTGCACAAACTACTATTTCAGCTTTTCCTAATTTAATAGTACAGTAGACGTATTTTAACGACATATTGTTTTAGTCCGGTTCAATCATTCTAAACTCCCCTACCATAATGTGGAAATTTCGACTTTGAAAATAATAAAAATTAAATTGTCAGTCCCTGTAGCGCAGCGGATAGCGCGTTGGACTTCTAATCCAAAGGTCGTGGGTTCGATCCCCACCAGGGATGCAGAAATATTCTGACAACTTTTTTTTTTTATAATTTGTTCTAAAATTTACTGTATCGTATGGAGATAATATACAGTGTGTGCCATCAAGTGGGATTTTTTTTTAATATTACAATTGGAAAAAACGTTAACTACTGATATTAGTTTTCTGTCAAATTTGCATTAAAAAAAAATTTGAACGATTTAAAAAAAAATTAATGTTGTCTAGTCAAACTTAACATGGGTTATTTTTAGTTTTTAAAAAAGCAGAGTGCCCTACGACGTTTTTTACAATCGTAATATTAAAAAAAAGAATCCCATATGGATCCAACTTTAATTTTCGGGGGGAGGGCATTTGCCTTTAGGTATACCTTTTTTAGCATATTTTTTTGAGTAAAAGAGTCATAAATCGTAAGAATGTTCTTCTCGGGGGGCCGTGAGCCCCATGCACCCCCCCCGGAGCCACCCTTAATCCGCATTGATTGATAAGATAAGTAACATTGTGTTTTCACAATCATTTGTATTGGAAAAACATTTAGAATCTGCTAGGACAGTCCCTGTACGAATGGAAATCTAAAATACACTGCTTTCTTTTCTTGGATACGCTCCAATGTTTCAATTGCAGATAGTTTTTTATTTATTGATCCCTCTATTTCCAAGACCTAATAGGTAATTATTAAATCCTAAATTGTTTTTAAATGTTTTTCATTGTTGTTCATTGTTTTTAATTGTTTTTCATTGTTTTTAATTGTTTTTAATTGTTTTTAATTGTTTTTAATTGTTTTTAATTGGTTTTAATTGGTTTTAATTGGTGTTAATTGTTTTTAATTGTTTTTAATTGGTTTTAATTGTTTTTAATTGTTTTTAATTGTTTTTAATTGTTTTTAATTGTTTTTAATTGTTTTTAATTGTTTTTAATTGTTTTTAATTGTTTTTAATTGTTTTTAATTGTTTTTAATTGTTTTTAATTGTTTTTAATTGTTTTTAATTGTTTTTAATTGTTTTTAATTGTTTTTAATTGTTTTTAATTGTTTTTAATTGTATTTAATTGTTTTTAATTGTTTTTAATTGTTTTTAATTGTTTTTAATTGTTTTTAATTGTATACGAAAATAAGAAAACACACTTCTTTTGATCTGGGTATTTTCTCGGTATTAAAAAACTATACCAAACCCAATACGTTCAGCCTAATTTAATTTTGAATACCTATTCGCTTTCTCTATGCTACAGCAAAGATTTATTCCTCAGACACAAAATGACATTAAGTACCTACACGATACTTATTGGTACTTTATTGTTAATGATTGTTTATAGCCACGGCTGGGTATAAAAATCGTAAATTATATGTTGGAGCATGTGCCATTCATTGGCGTTCAACCTTCGAGGTAAATGAACCTTGAATGACGTGCCATCATTCTTTTTCAGGGCAATGATAGCCATTATCATGATGATGAAAAGCCGATATTTAAATGCATATCAATGGGGGCGTATGTGATGCCTTGAATCGGCTACACGAAAGCATTTTGTTGTGATTATAGCTATATTTTCAACCGTGATGATTTAGATATACATAGATTTACCTATAAAGTTGTAAGACGAACTTAAAACAAGCAAAATTAAGGTTGAGCCTCAGTAAAAAAATTGGTAAAGTATTTTAACCAGAATTTCCCTCGATATAGAAACTAAAAAAACAGTGAAAACTCCTAAGCACTTATATTTTAACAATTTAAAATTGAAATCACCAAACGAAAAACCCTTTTTCTTCTTTTCTCTCTCTTTTACTTCGCGATTGCTCGATGTTTTTCGTCACCTTCAATATTATTGAACGATAATGATTGGCTGCTTTTAAAATGGTCCAGTTACACAAACCAATCGGACAATTTTTATTTTTTATTTTCAAGGGGGACCTTTTTTGATTAAATACGATTCCTTTCAACGCCATTTTGAATACTTAAAAACTTATTTAGGATATCTTATCTTTGATTTCAAAAATACTCTGCATACAAAATTTGAAGTTTTTGAGCCAACATACAGACAGACGACAGATAGACCGACGGAATGGGAAAACATAATTTTCGTAATCTAGGGATTCTAAAAATTTGAAATAATCTCAGAGGGTGAGTTTTTCACGATTACAATACTTCCCTCTCATTGAGGGAAGTAAAAACATTATTTTTTCTTCAAACCTCAAAATTAAAAATAAAACTAATATTATATGGAGATTTTAGGTCTTGCCCCATATAAGCAAAAAATAAAACAGCACAACTTTTAATCCTTTAGATAAGTGTGATAGTTTCTGATAACTGAAGGTTATTTATAAAACTTTAAAAAAAATGTGAATATTGTAAATTCAATCTAAATGGCTTAGTAAAAACAATAATACCCTGTATGCGATTGTTTAGTTACTATTTGCGTGTGTATCCTTATTGCTATTGTTACGTTAATATTATTAAATAACATAATATGGTAGCGGAAAATATTAATAAACGAGGGAAACTTGATAAGGTTATTAGATACATTTATTGGTTTTCCAATAATGATTTGATTTCTAAATAAAAGCAACTACAATCTGGAGTGAAGATAGTGACTATTAAAGATAGTTCTTGAACATTTTAATTTTTAATCTTTGATTTTAGATACTGAAGAAGTATTACTTTTAATACCAAGAGATTAAAAAAGTTTAATCCGATTAACAACATATAATCCTCCTTGTTATTTATTGGTTAAATTTGGTTCAATGTTAAAGTGTAACAATGTTGTTAGAATCATAAGGTTTATTTAAATTTTTTGCAAATAATATAACTTTTTTCATTTAAAATTTGATCTACGAAGTGCTTATAATATACCATTTTATATGCTGTGACATTATTTATATTATAGAAACTTATTTTGGAAAGTACGTCTATCTTTTATTTAGACTTATAGTACCTACATGATAACAATTTTCATAAAAGAAAATTAAAAAAACAATTTTGCTTCCCAGAAAGTGTTTTCTACCTAAAAATTGTTTATAACTAGTAAAGCCATAATGTTAAATGTATTGTTCTCTAAAACAATAAAGAGAGTAATGTTTATAAATAAATTTATAATAAGAAATCTTTTTGATACAAATTATAGTGTTACGTTGGTTTCTGCTATTACAATTTATTTTAATTCAACTTTTACAATAACTCAATTCAACTGATACAATAACTCTAACTGATAACATTAACAAGTAACGTCTATCATAAAACTGAACTCTGACGTCAAGTCGTCGACTTATATAGCTTGCCTCGACCTTCTAGAACCTTCTCGAACAATCCGGACTTTTCTTTGACAAGGAATGACATTTCGAGAGATTTCTGGACTATTCTCTTCTTTAATTACTCGTACCTTTACTTATCACGACCGCAGCACGCTACAGAGTGCTGCGTAACAATAGGTTTATTTTTTTAACGTTTAACCACTACAGATGAAATGTGCTATTTTAAAGTAATTTAAGGAGAATTTTCAAAATGCTTGGTTTTTATGATGCCTGGTGGGGTTTTCCGAATTTTCTTCATTTTTTAGGGTAATTATTACCCATAATATACCCACCTAAAGATAGAATGTTGCGCATCGTGGTCGGTCCTTATTTTGACGCGCAAATGAAAATCACTCTGTGACTGACGACATGCGCGAGGCAGACGAAAACTGAACACGGGAGTATTCGGCCCTGATTATTACCCATGGATGAGGAGCTGTCGTACCTGTTAGGGTAATTACCGATGGCCTAAGGAGCTATCGTGCCGAGACCCATAAATAATATTACATACAAATATTGAATACAATACAGATTTGAAAGTAAGTTTAGTTTTAGAGTTGAATAAGCCTAGAGCTAGTTTGTATTAGACCACTGGAGCGTGCCTCCCTAGGGGAGCGTAGAGAGATTATAAGGGGGCCCCAATGTATTTAAACATTCTGAAAAAAAAATCTATTTGAACTCTTATATTCCCACACATATTTAAGTCGAATTACACCATCAATCATCTGTAAGTCGCCCCGAAGCGCCACGGCAAGTAATAATAACCGTCCCTACCCCACATAAGCTCTGCTTCTGGGGTTAAAAATTCGCTCGTAAGGGGGTGAATATAGAGAATATTATTATTTATTATATATGGTAGCGAAACATTCTGGCAAACAAGGTATTTGAAACAAATGAACGTATAATTATAAAATTTTAGGGTGCTGAATGGTATTTCATTCTACATATCAAATTTATCTGACGTCAAAGTTTAGCTTATCACCGCCATCTTGAATTTTTTTAAATGGCAACGTAAGACGACTGATAATCGGAGAAAAGCTTATATTTTCCTCTTTTCAAGAATATGAATAAAAGTATTTTATCACAGGTCTCCAGTTTTTAAATTCTTAAAAATATCACATTAACATACATGTTAATTGTAATGTCATATTTAATCCATTAAAAAATGATTTTACAGTATGGTAAAGAAGATTTCTCCAAATTCGTGCCATCTCTGTGTTAGGCGGAGGCCCAATCCTTGTATGTTAATAAAGATTAAACATTGCCATTTTTGTTTTTTACAATACTAACTAATGACTAAAGTTGCACCTTTATGATACTCACTTTTAACATAACTGTTGTGTATTGTTATGTTTTGAAACCAGAAATGTTTTTTTTTTATTTAATAATACACTTTTTGTTACAGATCCCATTACGTTGATGCCTTTCCATAATGGTTATTGTGACGCGGGTAAGTGTTAATAATAAAAAACGACAATAGTTAAAACTAGCTTTATTGCCTTGCAATAATTTTTATAGTTTAATATTAACAAAAAAATTATGTTGCTACACAAACTCTAGTAACAATTTTTATTGAAATAACTGTAGAAGTACATTCTGGAATTATGTTAAACATGTTTCACGGCATGTCATGTTTTAAATTCTTTACTCGTGTTTAGATATCGATTCCATCGACGTATACATATAGGGTGATTCAAAATTCGATAAACGTAATGATTGGTTTCGTAAAATATTAAATATATATTCTAAAACGCATAGCGGTATTTTATAATGTTACGACATCTGTGGGAGTCCTCTGATGCTAGAAGTCTATGTAAAAATATGTACACTCACCAATAAACGCTCTGTTTAGATTTATAAACAGATAATCACTAAACAGAAAGGTACTGAAGATCGCATAAGAGACTGATTAAAATTAAAAGTAGAGAAAATGATACAGAGTCAGGAGTCTAGTAGACTATGCACCGCAGTAGTTAAGGGTTAATATGGGGTATTAATACACTAAGGCTCTGTGACACAAACACTAATAACACAACACTATCGTCTGCGTAATAGGTCTTATATCTAATGTATCATATTTCTTAAGCATTTTCGTTGGCTGTTTAATAAGGAGATTTACAGCTAGTTCATTTGGGTAAACACTCAACCGGTTCTGATATCTCCCCGCTAATTTGGCACATTCTTCAAAGAAGTATGCACTCAGGAGTATACCAGGGAGCATTTGCAGCTAATTTGAGTAGTTTGGATTGGAAGCGCTGTATCTTCAACACTTGCAAAACCCCATAGTTGTATTCCATATAGGTTTTATTTTGGTTAAGTTGGGATGGGCAGCACATTATTTTTCTGTAAATTAGACCAAGTTGTAATTCTCTTTTGACATATATGTTTAGCTCAGGTTAAACGCTTGTCTAAATAAATATCAAGGTATTTCACCTCTTTCTTTACGGGTATTAGCTTGAACATGTCTTATCTGTCAGCATTTCAAAGAAGAATAACCCCATCATGCAAAACCTTGTTGAAAACCTAGGTAACAACGATGAAGCCTGCGGAACGTGTTCCAGATCGTACCGTATTTTCCGGGTAATTGTAGGTACCTGTTTATATGGTAGCGTTGTTTAACGGAAACCAAACTGTTAGGTATTATTTTTTATTTATCTAGTAGTGTTTTTAGTCTTCGAAAAAGTTTCTATAGGTGGATTTGGCAAAATACTAATGGGTCTGTATGATTTAGCGTTAGTCGGAATTTTCTCTGGCTTTTGATTAATAGTTATCTGAGCTACTTTCCACTGAGGTGACAGCATAGCATTGAATAGCATAGTTATTAACCTGGTGGAAGTTCCTGCAGGACGCTGCCTGTGATCAGGTCATAACCACGTGCTTTTCTAGGGTTTAGATCGGTTTGATTTAATCTTTTACTTCAGTGACTTTATATATTTTTTTTTACAGAAAGATCTAGTGAGTATAGAACATTTAGTAATGTGGTGACGGCATCTTGTGTTTCTCCAGGATAAGGACGGAACAAGCTTTCTAAGTTTTAAGGAAATATTTTGGCTTTTTCTGCATCGTTTCTGTCCCACTAATCTGCTTGCGTCTTTATAGGGGGAATTGATTTTGTTGTTGCCTTCCAGAGACAGCAGTTTGATTCTTCAGAGGCTGCGATGTTGTTATACAATTTTTTATATTCGTATAACAACTTTTTGACTTCTCTGGTTACTCTATTAAGGTTAGTTCTACCTTTCCAAGTTTTCTTTGAATTACTGCAACTAGGTGTTCCATAGCTCATTGGATTTTAGAGGTACGTTTGTGCTTTTCTTATCATAAACATCCCTGTAAAAGGTACTTGCGGTGACAAGCTTTGGTTTTATTAATATTTGAGTGCTAAGACTTATTAGTACTGGCGACTGATAGATCTAAAGAGGATATAATCTCTAGATAATTTTGTAATACACCTTTCACTATAGAGAAGTCAAATAGATCATGATGTTTCATTCGGATCAGAGGGTCAGTATGTTGGCAGATTATAATTTATTATTTAGCTGTCTTCTCCTTGGAGTCATAAGCCTCAATCCCCTTTTTGTGATGTTAAGTAAATAAAATAAATTTCTTCATAATTTTTCGATATTATAACTGTTTATTTGAAATATTTCAGTTACCATTATGGATTCTTTAGTTCTGCTTGTAGCATTTTATTTGCCTTCTAAATACTCAACTTTTTCCGCATTTCTGAATTTTCTACTTTACGAGATCCCAATAAAATAATAAATATTTATGTAGCTTGCAGCTGTACTTATTTCGCATTCTCCTAGGATGATCTCCTATAGAAATAACAAATCTTCCTAACTCTAAGGACGTTTATAGTACGTCAAACCTTAAAAAAATTGAGACTAATTGATAATTTTATATAACTGTAAAAAATCATCAATTTTTTTTTTTAATTATCATGTACAGGTAGGTACACACATCGTTCAGCACAGACGAGAAAGTGCTATGTAATCAACTTTATTAAAAGTAAAGTAGGTTACGTATTTTTCATTACAATGATAAAATATATCATTGCGTTTAATGTATTTAAAGTATGTAATAATTTATACCTAGGAAGCGATTCTTCTGTTACAGGAAAAAGTTAATAACATTGCTTGAATTACTGTGTGTTGTTTTACAAAAATACACCAGGATGGCTTGATAAATACCAGAAAATCGTGTGATGATAAGAATTTTTATATGATTTTTCTAATTATTTCTCAAAAAAATTGTTTTGTTGAAGCATTTATTCATTTACAGCAACAACGACTTAATTTTGATTGTATTATATTTGGTCAGTATATGGTGGATGGGGACGCAATTCAAAATTCAATTAAACTTTTACAAAATTAGTGCATGGTATTTTTTTAACACTGCTAGTTTACTAAAACATTAATCTTGAAACGAAAAGTATAGAAATCAATTCTTCTATAAAGACTACCTAATAATTAACTATAACAATAAAAAGAATTCGGAATTTATTCCAAAAACATTTTTCTGTAGGAATTATATAGAGTGTCACGTTAATATACCGACAAACTTTTAAAGCTGGTAGGTGACATCCAAATAAATATTTTTTTGATTAATGAACATAATAATATGTCCAAAAATGCTTCCCTTTTAAAACACGTGTTTATTAAGTAAAAAAAGTTTATTTTGATGTCCCCTTTACCCAAGGGCGGCTCCAAGACGAATTTTCGGGAAGGGGGGGTCATAGCATATTTTTTTGAATAAAAGACGCATAAATCGTAAAAAATTTCATCTCGGGGGGGACATGGACCCCATGGCCTTCCCCCTGGAGCCGCCCTTGCCTCTACCACCCCTAAAAGTTTGTCGGTATATTTACAGAACCCTTTGTATATTTAAATCTGTACAATGTAGGTATTCATTAGGTTCTTGTTTACAACTAAAAATATAATAAAACAGCTCAGAAGTTACAGGGAAACTATCACTGAAAAAATAAAAATAATAGGTACCTATACAGATTTATATTACAAAATATATTATGGGCGGGTTGTACTAAAGAATGTTGTAAACTTAGTTTAGCTAACAGTTTTATTTTTAACTTATATTCAAAAAAACAAATGTCATTTTTAAAACTATGTTTAACAATAACCGAAGACAATACAAAGAGGTTAACAGGTCTACATTTTAACTACCTATTGTACAACTCGCCATATGTACGAGTATTATTAAAAATTAATTGTATTTCTTCAAAATGCGTTTGATTCTGTTTAACCGTTTGATAAAAAAAAAAAAATAAGGGTATAAAAGTGGTTTCTATATGGAGTAGCGTGTAGATTATCTAAGTATAGATTAAAATTAAATAACATATGCAATGGGATTCTCATCTTTCGATACGTCTCCAATCGAGACGCTTAGCTTCGTTCGACAGACAGCGATTTTAATGTAATGTCTCTCTCTATTCTATATGTAATGTGTCAAGTTCGCACAAAAGAATCGCTGTCCTGATCAGAAGAAACTAACCACATCAAAATTATTACACAGGAAGAAAATTAGGTCCCCTGTTATTTTTAATTTATATCAATGACATTGTTGATGTCGCAAGGGTCAATAAGACATTTACCTGTTTGCTGATGATGTCCTTATCTACCTTCTTTTTATTTATTAGTACACGTCACGGGACATATAGAGGACATAAAATTTTCAACTTTAATAACTATTTCTTTTAGCTAAACATTATTTCTTGTTCTTTTCACAACTTGTTAATGGTTTTCAGCAAAAAAGTGGTCAGAAACCTGAATATTCAATTAATTAAAAAACAAAAAAAAAACGGAAATTTAAATACGATTAATTAAACTACGACCATACGATCACCAAGGTAAATCGGTTACCCAGTATTAATACAAGATAAAGTCCAAGTTACGTAAAAAACAAACAAGCACATCGTGACGAAAATACTATCAATAAAACTGTACCTGTTTACATTGTTACATTATCATTGTGTATATATAGTCTCTATCGGAATAGTAAGGCTTCAGACTATGGCTCATTGGATAATAATAATTATATCAAGGGATATGAATTAGCATTAAAATTCGAGTCTGTCTGTCATTGTGTATATAATTTAAGGTTATTTGCCTCGGTAATAGATGCTTAATTAAAGGTTAAATACGTACATGTTTAAACACAGGGTGTTTCTTAAGTTGATACTTCGATTTTTTTACTTTATATAAAAATAAACAATTTTTTTAACAAACTAAGGTGTGTGAAGAGAGCTTAAGAAGCCTACCTTCTTGTTGTTAATGTCATGAATAGTTGTCAATGCACATTTGGTTAATATCACAATATAGATTGAAATCATTATTTTGTAAACGATCTCATGGCGCAGTTAGTAGGATCGTTAGGGCTTACACATTAGAAAGTGTTTGAAAAGTAATGCCAAATGCGGAAGATGAATGTGACAGA